AGAGAGAGAGAGAGAGAGAGAGAGAGAGAGAGAGAGAGAGAGAGAGACAGAGAGAGAGACAGAGACAGAGACAGAGAGAGGGAGAAACAGAGAGAGAAACAGAGACAGAGACAGAGAGAGAGACAGAGACAGAGAGAGAGAGACAGAGACAGAGAGAGAGGGAGAAACAGAGAGAGAGAGAGACAGAGAGAGAGACAGAGACAGAGAGAGAGAAACAGAGAGAGAGAGAGAGAGACAGACAGAGACAGAGAGAGCATGATGAAACATATTTGTGTTTGATTGTGTGTGTGTGTTTGATTGTGTGTGTGTCACATACCGACACTCAGGTGCAGTGGAGAGACTTTAGCAGTAGATGCGTCTCCACCTTGTGGTCACAAAGCAGCATTACATCAACACACAGTGAAAACATGTGGTGGTATTTGTCTCCAGAAAAAACCTGCTTTAAGTATGTTTAAAAGAGTCCTTGGTGCTTTAATAATAGATTTATTATGTGTATGAATATCAAACCTCCAGCGTCTTCCAGGTGTTCTTCCCCCCCGCTGCCGATGAGCTGGCGGAGGCGTGCGATGCGTCGCCTCAGCGCGTCTCCGTTGGCGTCTCTCAGGACGGCGAGCCACGACAAACAGTCCTCAGAGCCACGGGACTCCAGGAACACGACGGGGTCACCGCCCACAAACACTGAAGAAGACACGCGGTTAAAAAGACGATGCTTCAGTTATGGACGTTGCTGCAAAGAAGCTTCGAACAGTCGGACTAAAGCTATCATTTTAAGGGTCTTTTAGGTGTGAAATCACAGATTGTGTATAAGAAGTGGACGTAGTCGTCGTGACGTCACTCATCGGTTTGTGGACTGATGTTTTGAATCCTCCAGTTCAGCGATTTGGTCGTCGCCATCTTGTTTTTTTGCAACCAGTGAACAGGAAGTGACCACATCTGGACTGAGGAGGAGTGACGCAGATGCCGTATACGTCTCTGGTAGAGACCTGTCAATCACCGTGTAGCCTCGCCCTAAAGCATCCCCTGCTTTATGGTCTGTGTGACTCTAAATGGACCATAATGTACTAAATGAACATCATGCTGTATTGAAGAAGACTTGAAACTAGAGATTGAGACCATAAACTCATGTTTACAATGTTTACTGAGGTAATAAATCAAGAGAGAAGTAGAGTCATTTTCTCATAGACTTCTATACAACCAGAGGAGTCGCCCTGACGTCTGTAAACCATCAAACATTCTAAATATCATCCTTTTTACAGATTACATTGAACACATCACGATGACGTTATGGATAAATGTGACGTAGTTAATGAAGCTTTAACGGAGTAGAATGAGTTACTTACTGACAGATAGTCGTCTGTCATCGTCTGGAAGCTTCTCCACGTCACATCTCTCCAACAGCAGCACCTCATCCAGTTTACCACCCTGAACACATAAATACACATAAACACACAAAGATATATTTTAATACTTCTGTTTATGTTTCTAGATTTCTCCTAAATTCACCAAAAGTTACCATTAATGCCTCATTTACATATTTAAACATAACATTTCAGAAAATGTGTAATACAAAAAATAATTGTCTTAACGTCAGTAATCAGCTGGTGAAGTTTCATGTTGATATCTATTAGTTAATTATTTTACCCTATTCACCTGTAGTGTCTCACCTTTCAAATACAAAACCACAGAAGAAGAGTCTCACCTGTTTCTTCAGGATGAAGAGCAGGTTTCCTCTCAGACGACAGAACTTCTCACAGAGATCTGACACAGAGGAGGAGGAAGAGGAGGGGGAGGAAGAGGAAGAGGAGCAGAGTGTATGTGTTAGTTTACTTGTATTTGTTCATGCTTCTTCTTCTTCTGTTTGTCACATGGTACGTTACAGGAAGTGAAGTCAGAGTGTGTCAGGATGGAAATAGAAGGAGATGACTGCTGCCGAGTTGCCGCTGAGCAAGGCAGCTGACAGAGGGAACAGAGAGAGAAGAAGACATGAGTAGAGCAGAATGCGTCTCACTCGTCTCCCGTCGTCCTACTCGCAGCGTTCCTTCTTTCTGGAAGTTTCCAGATGTTTGTCTGGACAGAAACAGCAGCTGGCTGTGGTTCACCCTCAGCTTCATCGTCCTCAGAGCACATCAACTGTCTGCATCTTCATCATCATCAGATCTTCATCATCATCATCTGATCATCTTCATCACAACCTAAACAAATACACAGAAATAAAAAAAACATGCATACATATTCATGTATACATATATAATACACTGTACATATACACACAAATAAATCAACACTTACAACTTATTCTATGTAAATATATATGTTAAACATTAACGTAACGTCACGTAACGTTACTTTTTACGAGTTTCTATCTTACAACCGTTAACCTTACTTGGTTCACACGATGGTAAACTTCTCCAAAAACACGTTTATCTGAACCAAACTGCTTCGTATTAAACAAAGTGTACATGATCTAACATTACAACATAACATTAGGTTCATCGACATCACTTACCGCAACATTTAAGAGTTTCTGAGACTAAAACCTACTTTTACAGCCGCTGTTTGTTGTTAGTGGTAAACCACAGCGGATGAGCTTCGGACCACTCAAGTCTCGCGAGAGTTGCGTTCTCTCGGCTGCGCTGAAGATCCACAAGATGTCGCGAGAGAGACTACTCCACTACATTACATACAGCTAAATATCACACAAACCTTTAAATAACACGATTTATTTCGGTAGCAGTACCATAGTGTAAACATCTAATAATATTATACATTATTTTGAAATGGGACATTCTGCATAATGAGTACTTTTACTTGTTGTTACAGAGTATTTTGACATTGTAGATATTCTAATTGTACTTAAGTAAAATATCTAAATACTTCCTCAACAACACACAAACATAGATTTATTAATTATTATTTTTATGGAGCTTAATTTACTTTACATTTAGAGACTTTTAAGTGTCTTTACACGGTAAAGGTGAAAGGAAAAAGAAAATGAAAACGTAAAATTAAATAGAAAGAAAAAAGTTAATGTAAAACAACATAACATAACGCAACATAGTGCAACACAACATTGAGTTTTCACTTTTGTCACCTTAAGTACATTTGGCTGATAATCTGTTGAATGCAGCACGTGTATACGTATAATATGTAAAACTTTAAATTAAATGGAAAGAAATTTTAACGAAGTTAATATAATATAATATAAAATATAATACAATACAATTCAAACAAGTTAACCAAACATATAACACAATATAACATAACGTAACATAATATAACCTAACGCAACACAACGTAACATAACGTAACATAATATAGCATATTATATTAGAATATAATACAATACAATACATTACAATATAATATAAAACACGATGAGTTTTTCCTTTCGTTATTTTAAGTACATTTGTCTGATATTCTGTTGATGCAGCACTTGTACATCGTGGTATTATTACCACTACTAAAGAGAATAGAGTGACACACACACACACACACACACACACACACTCATGCTGCCCTTCTCCCTACTTCTCTTATCAGCCCCTCAGTCATAAAACCAGGCTTTACTCTCAGTCACTGAACAAACTGCTCTCTGTCCTGTCTGTCCAGACATCTGGACGTCCGTCAGCAGCAGCTGTTTCACTGGGACTTTGCAGCTTCAGCAGGCGAGTAATAAACTCTTTTACTTCAGTTGTCACCTTTTGTAGGAAGACAAATCTGAAGTGTGAGCTGCTGAGATTAATCCACACCAGGTTCAGGTAGAGGGGGTGAGAGCAGTTTCTACTGGGAAGCAGTGGGTGGAAAGTACATTTACTGAATTTAAGGTACTTTTCTGCTACTTTATACTTTTATTTCAGAGCTAGATATTGTATATTTTACGCCGCTGTGTTTATTCAACTATTTTACATGAAGATTCAGATTAACAATACAAACTTTGATGTAATATCATAGAATAAGATGAAACTTTACTATGTTTACTAGCTTCTACTTTCAAAGTGCACATTAACGCATGAATTATAATCCAATAATGTAATATATATTCTTTTACTTTTGATACTTTAAAGTCTTTTTGACACCAAGACTTTTGTACTTTTACTTTTAATTAAAACCCCATTACTTTTACTTGTGACAGAGTATTTCTACACTGTGGTATTTCTACTTTTACTTCACATTAAAGACCTGAGTACTTCTTCCAATACTGCTGAATAGTGTAGTTTGTAGGACAGAAAGAGGAAGTAAAAATTAACATTGGCTGCTTCTCGAGCTCAACAGGAGATTCAGATTCAGTTTCCAGATTAACTAAATTGCAGGAACTTTAACAGCGAGGAGGTCAAAGGTCGGTTCATACAATTAACCTGTCTCATGAGACCAGTTATGTAATTTTCCGCCGATTTAATGAGCCTTATTTAGCACATCAGCAAAGCCACCAGTCAAAGGTTTATAACGCTTTTGATTCTGATGAAACATGCCAACAATCTGTCTTTTCATTTTGAGAAGCAACAAGAAATTATGTATTTTGTCGTCGGGAAAGGTCCAAAGGTCAAAGGTTAATTTCTGGAGCTTTCAATCTAATCCCATGATCTTCATCCACAGATGAAAATCAGGCTTTGGGGAAGATGACTAACTAGTGAGATTAGAGAACGTAGCATCAAGTCTAGAGAGTCTACAGAGCTGCTAACATTAGCTTAACCCCTGATATAGCATTTTATCACGGCTGTGCTGTCTTTCTTCTAAATTACAATGTGACCCCAAAAAATAATGTAGTTGTATAAGCTCCTTAGCTTCAGAAGTAGGCTAACACTCAGTAACATTAGTAGCCAATTTAGTTAGCCAGGTATGCTAAAATTAGCAGTTTACGTTAGCATACAAACACCCAGCTTCGATCCGTTCGTGTGTTTTTGGTATATTAAAGAATATTAAGAAAACCCTCCAAATCTATTTTGTGGTATGTTTAAATTAAACCTAATTACTAAGCGAATTAACCAATTGCTAGATCCGTTAGCTGGTTTAATGCGGTTACCGATTGGTAAAACACCAGAATTCGCTAAGCTAACGGAACTCTTATTGAACCTTTTAGTCTTGGTTGTCTTTTTTAGCAGGTTTCTGAGTTTTTAGTCCAAGCTGTCGAACTTACTAGTGAAAATAACATTCATCACTAGCTAGTTAGCAAATTACCGTTAGTCCTGTGAGCTAGTTGTTGGAATTGTCATGGGGTGTAGTGGAGGACTCAAATGCAGGCCAGACAGAGTAGCGTGAAGCAGGTATTTAATGAAATTAAATCAACACAGGAAACTTACAGGACACAACGAGGGATCCACGGACAAGACAAGAGACAAGGGGGAAAATCCAGCAGAATGAGGCAGGGCGGGCAGGCAGACGGGAAAACTGGGAACAAGACGAGCCAAAGAGGGGGGGTAGACATGAAAATGATCTGGCAGTGAGTGTGTGTGTGTGACTGGGGTTTAAATAGTGGCTGCAGTGGAGTGAGCAGGTGAGAGTAATGAGCTGACGAGGTGGGAGTGACTGGCAAGTGTGCTGAATAAACTGATTAGGTGAGAGATGGAAAAAACAGGATCATGGTGGCAGAGCTGTGACAGGAATAGAAACGTCACACTGTACCACCACCATGCAATAGCGAGTGGACGACCATTATACAGTACTTTGCCATTAGCGAGACGCACACAACCAAGCAAATTAACGAATTATAAAAGGTAAACAGTGGCGTGTGAAGTGGGTATTTCAGCAGCATAGGTGCATGAATGAAAAGTATGTATGCAATGTTGCATGGTGTAGAAACAAACCATAACATCAACCAAAATGGTCGTCTCAGGAAGGAGAGAGGGGCCACCTGAGCACACAGGGCCCCATGTGTTGCTGGTGTTGCTGATGAGCTGTTTCCACTCTGCTGATGACCACCTAAAATACCTGCAAGGAAAGCATCCACGCAAATGGAGTAACAGGCAGAGAGGGTCGTCACACATTACTTGGAGGAATTAACAAACAATTTTAATTAACGAACAAGTTGATTAAGAAACTTATTAATTTATACTAAAAATGAATCCTTAAAATTGCAAAAACAAAGCTTAGCTAGCTTGAAAAGGGACAGGAAAATCGTACTATAAGTAATGTTCGCCTCGGTAAAATGTTTCTTCCGTGTTTCAGGAGGAGAGAGGTTAATAATGTCGGAAACCCAAGTTACAATGGAGCTTGGGCTGAATGGAGCCTCAAAACACCAGGTACCTCACGTTAACGTCACACAGTTTTTGTAAATAACGGCAGTTTTGAGTTGAATTAACAGTTTTGTTTTCAGTCTGCAGGTGTTGGCCAACAGCGGCGAGGCGCCACCGTCAGCTTTCATAACATCGACTACAAGGTGAGACAGGGAGGAAGCTGCCTGTGTTGGAAGAAGGGCACAACCAAAGACATCCTCATCGACCTCAAGTGAGTACACTGAAAACTGCTTTTTGAAATTAGCCACGTGTGTAAATATATCGCTTTAGACGCTTCGTCACCAAGCTTTTAGGGTTAAATATAACGCAGAGAAATGTGATTCTGTTGTGCTACTTTCGGGTTAACTAGATCTTTACAAACTTGCTAGCTGGGTCGCTAACAGAAAAATAAGGTCACACAGATAATTCACTAGACATATAATACCTTTGACTCCTGTCTAATAACTAATATTCCTCTTTTGTGGAGCAGTTTACACTCGTTGAATAAAACCGGACGTGTTCAACGCAGCTAATAAGCTATAGCGTCCTCTATTTTGATTGGCCTGTGGCTCTTTGTTTCTCCCAAAGGTCACAACTGCTCCAAAGATGGTACAAATTTAATTCAAGATATTAGCTTGGATTTACTTTTTACTGCTGATTCCATTGAAATGAACTGATATTGCTGCTAAATGCCATCAATTTAGAGAAAGTAGAAAGTTAGCGTGTAGAATTTAGTTGCAGATTGCTCACTCCTCCCTTTCCCAAAATGGCGGGAAAGTGAACCACCGAGTTCAAAACCGTGGCAACACCGGGGTATCTTTTTAGGACCTTCGCCATGCTTAGAAGCTATCCATACCATAATAACACAACTTTAAGAGCAAGGACATTCAGATGGCGCTTTGGTGTTTCCACGGTTTCGCACTCGGCGGCTCACGTTACCGCGGTTTCACAAGCTTTACGGAGAACTACGGTGGCCTTAAGGTAAAGTAAAAATGTGGAAGTCCCCTTCTATAGCCAGTGTTTGGTTTGTCCCTTCTAGGCTCCTGTAGAAACATGGTGGTTCAACATGGAGGGCCAGCTCCTTATGTACATATGAAGGGCTCATTCTAAGCTAACGAAAACACGATTCTTAGTTTCAGGTGATTATATACTAATGAAAACGTCGTAATTATTATATTACATTTTTTCTAATGCATCCCCTTAAATCTTACATACTGGACCCTTAAAACAAAGCAGTTTCACCCCTCTGAGACTTTAAAGCTTGAGCTAAACTGAGGCTGTTGTGCGGTTATTGTTCATTTGTTTGTCTACGTTGCCGACAGGACGACACCTGGAACGCTAACGTGACTCGATCAAGGCCCACATGGGTCAAACACACACTCGTGTTTGGAGGCAGAGGAAGGAAGGTTTCTTTGTCGAGAAACTCACTTTTCCTCTGTGACAAAACACACGTACAGAAGCTTGTAAGACAACAATGACTCTCAGGTTAAACCAACAAACAGAAACAGTGGCAGGATGCCGAGCTGCCTCCAGACCTTTTTCAAACTCACTGAACTGGGTGTTGGTGTTAAATTCACAGGAAAATGTTGGCTGGCTAGTTATAGTGACCTGAAGAAATCTGTCGGTTTGGTCCAGGCTGAAATATCTCAAACAGTCAATAAGTTGCCATGAAGTTAAGCACAAACATTCATGGTCATCAGAGGATGACTCCTAAGGACTTTGATATGCTGATTTCTCCTCTAGTGCTAGAGGAAATGTGGTTTTGAGGACGGATTTCCATGAAATTTGGCACAAACATTCATGGTCATCAGATGAATGACTTTTTGCTTTGGCGCCACCATGAGGTTTATATTTTTTATAGAGTTTTTAGTGAAATATATCAACTGCTTGGCAGATTTTCATGACATTTGGCACTATGCGTTGTGCCAAATCAAGAGGATACATCCTAACGATTTTGGTAAACCCTCAGATTTTCCTCAAGCTCCACCAACAGGTAATGGATTATAATACTGGCTTATTTAATGGATTGGTACAAAATTTAGTAGACAGTCATGGTACTACCCAGAGGATGAAACCAACTGACTCTGATCATCTGACTTTTCCTCTAGTGCAACTATTAGGTTAAAATATTTTTTGTTCTTTAAATACCTCAAATACTTGATAGATTTCTATTAAATGTGGCACTAGTATGCGTTGTGCCAAGAGGATGAATCATACCAATCTTTCTGACTTTTCCCCAAGTGCCACCAAAGGGTAAAATTATTTTACTTATCCTGTCTAATATCTCAAGGTTTATTAAATAAATTGGTGCAAAATTTGGTAGACATTCATGGTTCTCGGAGTATGAACCCTACTGATCCTCTGACTTTTTTGATGTGTGTCCATCCCTGACAAATCTAAAGACGGTGAAGCAGATTACTCAAGAAAAAGAGAACCATCTCTCCGTTCCTGACTACAAACCCTCAAAGTCTTTTGATTATGTCATGAAATGTTATGAAGATGTTCAAAGTCTTTGTTTATGATCTCGTGAAATGTTATGAAAACGTTATGACATTATGCATTGTAAAAAAGGCAGCTGGTCAAAGTGCAGTGTGTGCGTTGATAGAGGTTGGTATCCCTGGTATTTTATTCTTCAGTGTGTGTAATCATCACCAGTCTGACTCAAAGTTGAGTTTACAGCTTTATTTATTTATTTTTAAGAAAAACTTTAACATTTGCTATTCATCAGCTCAACCACACATTCTTTTAAAGCTCTCTTTTGTCATGAAAAGTTTTCTTAAAAATGTAGTGAGTGTCTCAAACCTGACAGCAGTTTGAGAAAGACATCTGTTAGTCTGTTATCACGAGGAGGCAGGAAGTTAAACATTTGGTTTGCTTACATTGGTTTAATTATAGGTAGAGGTGGTAAACTCGGCTTTGGCTAATCTTCACTTTCTTGAGGTTGACTCCGAACCATTGTTTAGGAGGCAAAACGAAACTGCAGTGTCACGTCTTGAAAATAAATGATGAAATGTGCTGTTTTATTCAGGAGGAAGTCCTTGAGTCAGCAAAAAGACCAAAAGATCAATCAAACTATTGCAAAACAGAAATGTCACAATTTACTCAGTTTGCAAAAAACACTAAATACCTCTTTCAATTCCTCAAATATATTACAACAAGCGTCATCACAAAGTTCCCCAACAGCCGCTTTGAAGAAACGCAGAGGGGAAAGAAACTGCCTCGGAATTCTTTGACTTGAGATGAATGAGCACTATGGTGTGTACGGCCATTAGCTTAGCTTAGCACAAAGACTGGAAACGGGGGGGAAACTGCTAGCCTGGCTCTGTACCAGCTCCTCTAAAACTCTATATATCTTGCTTGAAAATAACAATGTGAAATGAAGGACAGAACCATCATTAAGGAAGTAAAACCAAACTGTAGTGTGTTGAAATAATGACAGGATAAATTTTGAACAGAAGGAAGTCCAGATGCTGAGTCAGCAAAAAGACCAAAAGTTGAATCAAACTGTTTCAAAACGACTGAAATGCTTCAGTTCCTCATAAAATACGACCGACGTGAAACTGCCTCGTCATTTCAAACAAAACATTTGTCGACATTAGAATCGAGATGGATAAGCAAATATGAGTGCGTAGATGGTTAGCTTAGCTTAGCACAAAGACTGGAAACTGGGTAAAACTGCTAGTTACGTACCAGCACCTCTAAAACACATTATATCTTGTTTGATTAATCTGTACAGAAATTAGCTTGTAAGGACAAGTGATTTATTTGATAATTTTCCATTTGATTTTATGCTAAGCTAACTAGCTCCTGGCTGTAGCTTCATATTTACCATTCAGACATGAGAGTGATATCAATTGTCTCATCGAACTGCAACTATTCTCAACTATTTTTAAACCCCTAAAGCAATGTCCCTGGCTTGGCTGGACAATAGTTTATTCTATTTTATTCTTTTGAAATTAACAAGAGGCTTTACGTGAAGTAAATCCCACAATAAAAGTTAACTGTTATTCACGTTAAAAGAAAGATCGTAGATATTTTGTCAAGATTAAGGACTTTTTTTTATCAAGTATCAAGTTGGAAACAGAATCTTTAGTTACACAGTAAAGAAGTTTTATTCTACTTCTAGCTGTTAAGATTCAAAATATTCAGGAGGAGAGAGTCGGGTAAATTTGGAAAGTCAGTCCCATTTTCTTCTGTACGATATATAGTTTTATTATTTTCGTGTATTTTCCTTTAAAATGGCAAACAGGTTGAAAATATGTAGTGTATAAAAAAACGGATTTAGAAAATTATTTAAATAGTTTTTCTTTTTTGGTTTTCTGTGTTTTTAGGTATCTGGTTTATATGCATTTAAATGCCTCTTGCATATGAAAGTTTGTAAAATCACTCCACTGTTATATATATATATATATATATATATATATTTATTTTTCTTTCTGTCTCTCAGTGGGTTAATGAAGCCGGGTCTGAACGCCATCATGGGAGCGACAGGAAGTGGAAAGTCATCGTGAGTGTCTTAATGGGTTTTGATGCTTGGTGTTTCGCCATTTGCATGTAGTCAGCGCTGTGTTCGCCATTTTCGTAGCTTTCTCTTGGATGCATGCTCGTCCATACATCATGTTCTACCTTTTTAATTGGATCCATTTGTCCTTCAGTTTCCTGGATGTTCTGGCAGCCAGGAAGGACCCTGCAGGTCTGTCAGGAGAGGTTTTGATCGACGGAGCTCATCAGCCTCCAAACTTCAAGTGTCTGTCTGGATACGTGGTGCAGGTGAGTGAGACGTACAGGAAGTCGGACAGGAAGTCACATTTTAAGAAATACCGCGGTCATGACAAGATTTCCTTGATGTTTCTCGTCTGCAGGACGACGTGGTGATGGGAACTCTGACGGTCAGAGAGAACTTCACTTTCTCCGCGGCACTGCGGCTACCGACAACCGTCTCTCAGAAGGAGAAGGAAGAAAAGGTCAACAAACTGATCCAGGAGCTGGGACTGGGCCGAGTGGCCGACTCCAAGGTGAGGAGGAGGAGGAGGAAGAGGAGGAGGAGAAAGTGACACAAAATTCTGTCAGAAAGAGAGACTGATAAGAAAGGAAGGAAAGGTGTCAAGAAAAGACACCAATAATAGAGATAGAAGACGGCAAAAGAAAGACTCCATCAAAAAAGAAAATTGTAAAAAAGGAAAGAAAGATACGATAAATAATAAAAGTGTGTAAAAAGAGAGAAAATATAGAAAAGTAAGGAAACATGGGGGGGGGTTCTTTTTGAGTCACGCCCCCTGGTGTGTCAAGGCCTTAAGGAGGAAAGAAATCAGGAAAGAAACATTGGCTAAAGATAGAATGAGATCAAATTGAGGGGAAGAAAGAAGAAGGGGAGGAGATATGGGAGACAGCGTGACAAAAAAAATTAAAGAGAGAGGGGGAGAGCAAAAAATAAATATACAAAGTGCAACGAAATACACAGACCAATAAGAAAGAAGACAAACAAGACAAAGTGCAACAAAAAAGGAAAGAAGGCAAGAAATAATGAAATAAAATAATTAAAGAGAGGGCGACAAGAAAACGGGAAACAAATAACAAAAAGGAGAGAAAAAAGGTCAAGAAAGACAGGAGAGACAAAAGGGTCCTCACAAATATGGAAGTACACACTGGTGTGTGTGTGTGTGTGTGCAGGTGGGCACTCAGCTGATTCGAGGGATCTCCGGTGGCGAGAGGAAGAGGACGAACATCGGCATGGAGCTGATCATCGACCCGCCCGTCCTCTTCCTGGATGAACCGACCACCGGCCTCGATGCCAGCACCGCCAACTCTGTACTGCTGCTGCTGAAGAGGTACGCACGCATGCACACACACACACACACACACACACACACACACACACACACAGTCTGACAGTTCAGCTCTGTTTTAAAACCTTTGCTTCAGGTTTTAAATGTCTCTGATCGAGGGAGGAACTAATGTTTTCTGGTCATTGTTTCTTCAGGATGGCCAACAGCGGTCGCACCATCATCCTCTCCATCCACCAGCCCCGATACTCCATCTACCGCCTGTTCGACAGCCTCACCCTGCTGGTCAACGGCAAACAGGTCGACCACGTCTGCTCAGTGAAATATATTTGTGTCGGATTTACTGTTTCTTTTGTAACTCTTTCTGTCTTTATTATTATTTCGCTCTTTTTCCTTTTTCTTGACCCTCGTGTTCTCTTTTCGGCTGCTCTTTTGTTTCGTATCAAGCTTCCTCCCTTTTTTCTTCTCACCTCTAGAAAACACATCTGCTATTATCATATTCTATGTTGTGTACTGTCTTTATTAATATAGAAATTAACATTAATTCTTGTTTTCACTGTGATTAAAATGATCAGGTTTACCACGGCCCGGCTCAGAGCGCCCTGGAGTATTTCTCAGACATTGGTAGGAACATGACGTTAATCCAATATAACACAACTTGATGCTGAGGTGATGTACTCTATGTAATTCGGTTTGGAACTTCATTTCCCAGGATACACCTGTGAACCCCACAACAACCCTGCTGACTTCTTCCTGGACATCATCAATGGAGACTCAACCGCCATCACTCTCAATAGCATTGACGGAGAAGGTGAGTTTGTTTGGGGTCTGATTTTGGACACAGACAATATAAATAAAGTATTTTTGTAATTTATTTTTATTGTTTGGATCATTCTGAATGACTTTTTTCCCCTCCAGATCCAGATTCAGACTCTGTGACGAAGTCCAGACGAGGTATCGAGGAGAAACTCGTAGAGAATTACAGAAGCTGCAGCTACTTCAGACAGACCAAAGCAGAGTTAGGTTCGTACAAAACGGTCGTTCTGAGACTTTAAGTCAAACAAGAGTTACAGACAGTGTTGGAAGAAGTACTTGTATAGAAATACTGCAGTGTAACAGTACTCTATAAGTTTACTTTGAATGCAGGACTTTTACTTACAAAGTACCACAAATAAAAGTACTCATCATGCAGAATGGACCATTTCAGAAACCAGACGTTTGTCATACAGCGTTTGTAGCAATACCTACGAAAATAATGCACTAAGGCCCTGTAACTCGTAGATTCCCCACAAAATCAATCACTTTTCTTCCTAAACCTAACTCAGTTGTTTCCTGTAAAGACTATAAATGTAACGAGCAGAAATTGACACGCGTTGCTGGACTTTCTTAGAAAGAGTACGTTTCATACAAACCGTTGTACGAGGATACTTTGCAGAAACATGCACATTATATTACTAGATTATAATTAATGATGCATTAATGTTGCAGCTGATAAATATGGAGCTAATATTAATTATTATTTATAGTGCTGGGTAGCTTGTCAATTCCACCAAATCAGAACAATATCACCTTCTGTGTCTCTCAGAGAGGATAAGTCAGGGTAAGCACCAGACGACCACCACCGCTCCCTCCAGAACCATCACCTACAAGACCGGCTTCCTGACCCAGTTCAGATGGGTTCTCAAGAGAACGTTCCGCAACCTGATGCTCAACCCTCAGACCTCCGTCGCTCAGGTAGGAACATCGAGGCCTCCTAAGAAGTCTACACTGAAACTGTAAAGGAATGAAACTTATATATTAATGTTTTAAAGACTGGAGTTTGGTTTATTGCTCACCTCCATCTTTGTTCGTTATTGAATACAGAAAATTGTAAAATTGAGACATCAACATGAAAATGTTTCACAAATAAACACTTAAATAAACCCGTTTAATTTAGTTGGAGCAGCATCTAGTGGGCACAACAGGAACTGCATCTTCTATACATAAAGCAAAAGTTTGTAATTTTGGAAAATACGCTTATTTGTTTTATGGCAAAAAATCAATACAACTGTCATGTCCATCAATTAAATGTAAAGCTCATCTAGAGACAAAAATCAGATCCCCACGTTTTATAATTGTGGTTAAACAAATGCTTCATTTAGGTAAATAAGCATCTTAACTCTCCTTTTGAGAGCGAGATGAGATTGATATCAGGATGTGGCTAGCTTAGCTTAGCACAAAACATCCCAAGATGTTGAAATGTTCCTTAAGATCCTGCTTGAACGTGCTGTGGTTGCTGCACATGTTCATCACGTTCACTACAGCGACTCATTTTATTCGTTTGCTGACTATAAATGTGTTTTTATTCTGTTTTAGTTAGCAGTGACGTTGTTCCTGGCTCTCGTCGTAGGAGCCATTTTCTTTAACGTCCAGGAGGATCAGAGTGGAATACAGAACAGGTATTATGTTATATTCTGGTTTTATTTGGCATAATTAAATATTTGGTGCAACTTTTAATCAACAAGTAACTTAGTTTTCCTTTTTAAAGTTGTGATAGTCGTGTGACACAGTTGTAGTAGTAGTAGTAGTAGTGTTGTAGTTGTACACTTGTAGTTGTCTAGCAGATGCAGTAAAACTACTACTTGAAATATCAATGACTGAAAAAGAACAATTAAGAAAAACAATAGGGAAAGAAAGTATGTTTGTATTAAAATGTTTAAAATGAAAAGAGTTTTGAGGATGTAATGTGCAATTGTTTAGTAGTACTAATAGCAATAGTGGAAGTAAACTAAATACCATAAGCAGTAACAGTACCATTGGCCATATGTGACATTAATAATATTACAATATTATCAAATTGTACCGTGTACTGGGTTAAAGTATGAGTTTGTGTATTGATGAGCTTGTTGTGTTTCAGGTTCGGCGCGCTCTTCTTCATCACTGTGAATCAGTGTTTCAGCTCGCTGTCGTCTGCTGAACTCTTCATCGCAGAGAGGAAACTCTTTATGTGGGTTCAACACACAAAATGTACACATACTTATGAGGATATCATGTTGATTTCCCTTAATGCCCCTAAACCGCAATGAAACAATTTTAACATTTTGGGTATTACGCTGACAGACTTTATTTTTAAGAGTGAGATGAGAAGATGGATATCCATCATGTCTTTGTGCTGGATGTGGTTAGCATAGCTTAGCATACAGACTGGAAACAGCTAGCTTAGCTCTGTCCAAAGTTCTCGACAGCTGATTTGTTTACAGAATTTATCTCATATGTTAAACTTGTAAAAAGGACAATTTATGATTTTGTGGGTAGTTGTGTGCTAGTTTCCTTATGTTTTCAGTCTTTATGCTAAGCTAATGTCCCGACTCTTTACTCAACACAGACATGAGACTACCATCATCTTATCTCACTCTCAGAGAGAAAGTTAAAATGCACGTTTCCCAAAATGAACTATTCCCATGGAAAATATAAAAAGACCTTATGGGGACCTAAACTTTTGGACCCAGATGGGTTGTGAGTCCCCACAATGTAGCTCAAATATACACTTACACACACACACTCAATTTTGCCGCGATTTTTCAGCCTCTTTCTGGTTTACATTGTCGTTTTGATAAATGTGTAATCCAGATGATGGCACTTCTCGATGAGGTTCGTTGATTAAACTTTCTGTGTATTTTTCTCTCGTCAGTCACGAGTATATCAGCGGTTACTACAGGGTGTCGGTGTACTTCCTGTCTAAGATCCTGTCTGACATCATCACGCTGAGGACCTTCCCCGCCATAATCTTTAGCTGCGTGGCGTACTTCATGATTGGTAGGAAGACACACACACTTTGCTACGTTGTGAGGTTTTGCTTTTTAACGACAGAATATAAATTTTAAACAATTTTAATAATCGAGAAATCGTTTAAGTCATTTGTGAAGAAGAAATGTACAAAAAAATGTATCTGGTTCTCAAATGTGAGAATTAAATAGATATATTTAAAAAATGTAAACTGCAAATTTCACCTCAGTTTTCACAATTTTCTGACATTTTATATATTAAACGATTGATAAAATAAATTAAAATAATTACACATTGATTTATAGTTGAAATAGTTAGTTGTAGCTTTACTTATTTATTTTACTACATTTAAGACCTTGCTCTTTATTTGGAGTTTATATTTCAAGTTCAGTCTATTTTTAGTTCATTCTCAAGGTATTTGTATATTGAAGGTTAATATTTAAATTTTTTAAGTGCTACTTGGGCCTTAACTTTTCTACGGTTGAGATAAATAATAAATCCCAACTTTCTATTTTGCAAATTATAATTATTTTCATGCTTTAAATTTACCACTATGGTTTATTTTTGTTCTTCTTTCAAAACGTCAAACCATTACTTATAGACATATTTACAGATTTCTTTCACAATCTTTATTACCTCGTTCTTCTGAAGGTCTGAAGCCGACAGCCGGAGCCTTTTTCATCTTCATGTTCACCGTGACTCTGGTCGCTTACACCGCCACCGCCATGGCTCTGGCCATCTCAGCCGACCAGACGGTGGTCGCCATCGCCAACATCTTCATGACCATCGCCTGCGTCTTCATGATGGTGACACACACACACATACACACACACACACACACAGCAGCAAAAACACTCAAATGATCGTTTCTGTTCAGTTCTGTTTCTAATTAAACAGCTTCAATGGTCATAATCACAATTCCAATTTAGTCTTCCACTCTTAATTAACTGTTATTTTGACATCTGGACGCTCCCCGTTGATGGCAAACTGTTTGACCAATCAGACCTTTTTAAAAGTTGTCATTACATTATATTATATAACACTTTGCAAAACACATTACAAAGTGCTTCACAAGGCACAAAAAAAACAAGATAAAAACGTTATCTAGGAGGTATAAACCCCTTTGTCTTTTTTATATTTACTATTAAATCTAGTTTTATTTATACTCTTTCCAAGATGAAGCACTTCATGTGAAGAAAGTGTTTTTTGGAATAAACTTAACAGGCCAAAATCAAGATAATCCATGCGGCAACCTCCTTAATTTCTAAAACCTGTATTCTCTCTAGTGTCCACCAGGGGGCGACTCCTCCGGTTGTATAGAAGTCTATGAGAAAATGACTCTACTTCTCTCTTGATTTATTACCTCAGTAAACATTGTAAACATGAGTTTATGGTCTCAATCTCTAGTTTCAAGTCTTCTTCAATACAGCATGATGTTCATTTAGTACATTATGGTCCATTTAGAGTCACACAGACCATAAAGCAGGGGATGCTTTAGGGCGGGGCTTACTGTGATTGACGGGTTTCTACCACGGCATTGTCCAGTCTGGAAGTTGTCTGTGTTTGTCTCACAACTTTAACTCTTTCAGTGTGTTTTCACTTCATGAAAGTTAATTGTAACATTTGGGTCGCCTAAAAATGTCTTCAGCGTTCGGTTGTACTTAGCTCCGCCCTCTTGTGTCACTTCTGGCTCCAAAAACCAAGATGGCGACGGCCAAAATGCCAAACTCGAGGCTTCAAATTGGCAGTCCACAAACATTCACATTCACACAACACCCAGACTTCATAACTGTTGTGTTGAAGAAAAGTTGAATGTCTTACTTGTAAACTTTGTCTTTCTCTGCAGATCTTTGCAGGTCTGCTCGTGAATCTTCCCTCCATCGTCAGCTGGCTCTCCTGGTTGAAGTACTTGAGTATACCACGATACGGCCTCGGTGTATGTGTACACACCGCCACACACCCACACACACACTATAATGTACTTTAAATTCCTGTAGCTAATTATACTTCTGTTTCCCTTCGTCTGTGGTGTTCATACCGTAGCTTTTTGGTTTGTTTCTGTTCTTTGGGAAGAAAATAAAATAGTTCTCTCTCCTTAGAAAACCACTTAACGAGAAACTGAGTAGAATTCGACAAAATGCTTTCTCTACATGAAACACTCTTCATTTTAAATACATTATTTTAAAAGCGTGATGTAGTAGTTTGGATGGTGTTGATGAGTATTTGTTGTGTTCTCAGGCTCTGCAGGTTAATGAGTTTACCGGACTAAACTTCTGTCGCGATTTTAACAACAGCGTCACTCCACCTGGTCTCGCGTAAGTTACATATTTACACCTACTTTTTCTTAGTTAGTTATTTATAGTAAAGATGAGCATGTGGATAAGTCGCCTTGCTTACCTGCTGAAAACGAGTGACTCTCCTGTTAGTTATACGCCTGGTTAACTGTTAAGTTGATTAGCTAGTCGATGGGTTGAGTCGTAACGGGTTCACTCCCTGTGTTTCCAGTTGTACGGGGGAGGAGTTTCTGGCGGAGCAGGGCGTTGACTTCTCCGCCTGGGGCTTCTGGCAGAACCACCTGGCTCTGGGCGTCATGACCTTCTGCCTCCTCACCATCGCTTACCTCAAACTGCGCTTCATCAAGAAGTTCACCTAGACCTCCACCACCACCACTGTGATGTCATTTAAGAAATGTTTGTGCATCTTACGACTGTTATGGCGATATTATTTATCATTTGTATTAATCCTCCAGATCTCGAATACAGATGATTTGTTTGTAGAAATAAAACATTTGTATACTTTGTGTCGAAGTTATTAATTAAAAGCCCTTCAGTGTTTTGACTGATGACTGTAACGTGAGTTTGTTTTTGCACTTTAAAGTTCAGAGCCAAAGAAGTAATTTCTTTTTCACACAAATACAATTTCATATTTTTAAATTTGTAAAAAAATAAAACACTGAATTTACATCTTGAACATCTGTTGTTTTGATTTTTTTATTTCAGCCAGTTTATTTAAAAAAGTCACTTAATTACGGTACTTATATTCCACCACTGAGTTTCATTACTGCATATGCCTTTCAGATATATATATATATATATATATGTATATATATTTTAACAGATGTTTGAGCTGCATGCTAACGTATAATGTTTACCATGTTAGCAAGCTAACATTTGCTAATTAGCACTAAACAAAGTAAAACCAAAGCTGAGTGGAAAATAATTAGTTCTGCAGGTTTTTGGTCATAAACTAAATTAAACATGTTGACCTGAAGATGGCACTAGATTAAAAGTTAAAGGATCACCAAAGTGATAACAATCCATCCTCAGGGGATGAGTGTGATTGTCTATATAGTTAAGAAATATAAGTGAAAACTATAAATGTTAAAGTCAGAGGGTCACCAAAGTCTTTAGGATTCATCCTCTAGGGAACATGAACATTTCTACCAAATATAATGCCAATCCATTAAATAGTTGTTGATATATTTCAGTCTGGAACCTAAGAAAGCATGAAAAACAATGCCTTTTAGATATGACAAGATAATGGGAGAGGATCATGAACACACACACACACACACACCTACAGTAGGCGTGTGTGTGTATGTAAGCAGACACTCTCTTCCATAGCAACCGTGGATATAAACAGTCCCAGCATGTGTGATGACATCTCCAGTTCCAGTTAAGTAACCTCAGTCATGGCTGGAGGGAAACAGGTAGAGACTCATTGTACTCATGCACACCTGAGTAACTGTTTCCATGAACCGTTTAATGTGCCTTTGAGCAAGGCATTGACCCAACAGCTGATACTATAAAGACAATTCAACCAAACGATGGGACTTATTCCTCACATCTAATCCTGACAAAGGGCAGAAGTAAAAAAAATACTTTAAGTTGCAGAAAAGAGTAAAAAGCAGATTAACTAGTGAAATCTTTGGGTTTATGGCTGTCAGACATTCATTATCTAGTTTAATCGATTGGGCTGGAGATAAAAATGTCACTTATATAAAGGCGTATTAAGTATTAATGTGGTAGTATGAAACTAGTTCATGACAAGCAAAAGTTCTGCTTTCAAAATATTACTTCAGTAAAAGTATTGTCAGCCAAATCTGCTTAAAATACCAAAAGAAGAAGTACTTATTATGCAGAAACAAGAATAATGGTTTGCTACACTAGAAATTATGAAAATTGCCATTAAAAACTATTTTTTATAGCACAGGTACATTTAGTCAATTATGGACTCATTGAAGGACTGAAATTAGTTAATAATCTGATTTTGTGCACAAAGTAATGCATCATATTTTACAAAGTACAATCTTAGAACAACCAACTTCAACTTTAAAATACAATCTAGTGAAGTAAAAAGTACAATATTTCCATCTGAGATGTGGGGGAGTAGAAGTATAACGCAGAAAAAGTAAATACTTGTGTACTTGGTTACTTTCCAACAGTAAAATATCAGAGTGTTGGCAGGTAGATAACTGAAGTTCAGACTGGATCCTAGGCAACATCACCGTGGTGCTTTCTATTTGCGTCACACTGGAAATGATCTTTCCATCGATCAAAAGGAGCTCAGAGCTTTAATGCTTCACTAATCTCTACTGGAACAAAGTTACACAAGCTGTTCTGAGGTTTAGTAAGTCGGTAAAAATGATTAAGGAAACCTGGCTGGGAAACTCCAGGTGGAAGAAGTGACGTCTCTTTGTCTCTTTCCATAACAACGGTCAGGCTCAATGACGTCCATTCAACTCCAAACAGCAAAGAAAACAACTGACTGACTGCTTAATCGTTCATTAACACTTCTGTTGCTGTTTATCATGATGAAAAAGACAGTTAGCAACACAACAACACTGTTCAGCCAAGAAAAGGTGTCACCGTATCGCTTCGTGAAGACATCTGGTAAAAGGATGTGGTAGCTAAACAAATCCGAAACAACTGAGCAAAAAGTTGGTCAACCAACCAGTTGCTAAACCCCTCCTCTGGGCAGCAACTGTCCAATCATAGCAATCAACTAAACGTGCAACAGTTTGTATATCTTAGGAAACGTTATTTCGCGTTTTTCGTGCGTCGCAAGTCCAGCAACAAATGGGAATTTTCGGTCGTAACATAAATAGTCTTCAATATAAACTTCTGTCTTCACAGGAAACAACGTAGTTAAGTTTAGGAAAAGATCGTGAAATACGTAGTTAAGTTTAGGAAAAGATCGTGAAATACGTAGTTAGGAAAAGATCGTGAAATACGTAGTTAGGTTTCGGATAAGATCGTGAAATACGTAGTTAGGTTCAGGAAAAGATGGTGAACACACGGAGCATTTTTTAGTATGCAATTAATTCATGTAAATACATATTTTTACTTTCATACAATTACACAGCAAATTTATATTTTTTCATGGCAAAGTTGATTTTTTCCGATTTGTTGCACCACAAATGAAGGCATCAACCAATCACGTGGTTTGAACACTATATTGTACAACACTTTGTAAACTCCAAAGCAGATAAGTGAAGACAGTCTGAAGCGTCAGTGAAGCAGGGCGTTGCTGTGGTTAGCCAACATTGCTCCGTAAACCTTCCCCGAATGAAAAAAGTTTAAAAAAGCAGCGAGGATTAACTGGTTTCTACTCTGATGCAACTCAGAACCACAAACTTTCAGATCTGTTCAGACAAAACTTAACCGTCTAGACATTATTCATCTGTTCCCTTCATCCCTCCTCTTCACACCTTCACTCCCTTTTCTTTTATCCTCCATCACCGTCCTCATCTTAAATCTTTGTCAGTCTGCAGTCTGTCCTCTTTACTCTTTCTCCCGGCCTTAATCGTCTCTATTATTTTCCATTTTCCTACATTTGCTATTTTCTATAATCATGTTCTGCAGGTCGACAGCTCCGTCCGTCTTGTTCCTCCTCTTCCTCAGAGTTCAGAGCATCCACTTGACTCACGGTGAGTATCTTAACTTGAAGAATCTTGCAGTTCAAGATAAATAGGAACCTAGTTGTCATAACGAGACCTTTTGTGATTATCTTGGAACAAAGCTTATTTTGTAACACGTTGTCTTGATGGCGGCTTAACTGGAAACAAAAGACGGGGACAAAAGAAAAACACACCTCAGAGCTGTCGTCATGAAATATGCATCATAGCCGACCGATCAGATAGCAGCACAGACAGCTTAATGCACACCGACACCAACAGACGACGGCACCGGTTAACCTCTGTACAGATAAGACAGCGTTCTCTGTCACGTAGAGTAAAGGAAACGGCTGGAAGGTAAACTTAATTAAAGGTACAAAGGGTTTAAAAAAAAAGCAACTGCAGCATGTAAGACAATGAATCTATCAACATCTGGCGATAGCAGTTATTATTCAGATTTATTCATTTCTTAGTGTATAACTGTCAGCAAGCTTATGGTATTTTTAATTTAATGATTAATGTTATTATAAAAACATGTTTGGGATCACTTTCTAGAGTTGGTTAGTTCTTTATTAAATTGATGGCACAGAAGCTTTACATTTCTTTTCGAGGACCAACACACAGCTGTTTGTAAATCCATTAGTTTGTTTGTAAAATAGATTGTTTCAAAATCAGGTAGCCGTTTAAAAATAAGAAATTTATTATTGATTTTTTGCAAAAACATACAATCATGCAACTGGTTCCTGGTGTCCTGTAACTCATCAGGCTCTTCCTCACATGAACTTGCAATGTTTGATTTATTTGATTAATTCAACATGATCTCTTAATCTCTTAACCTCCGCCTCCTCTTTGATTTGTAGAAAATTGTAAGAAATTGCGGCATGATATTTTAATTTATACAATGCCCGCTATTAACAGCAAGTTGTTTTTAATTTGTAGTGTTAACACATGGCTGTAGAGACCACTGACCCATAGTGCCTTGTCATACCTCTAATCTACCTCCATCAGCTCGGTCCGTCTCCTCTCTGCTGGGTTTTGAGCCTCCAGAAATCGATGGTTCTCCTGTGGACATCTGCAGGATGTTCTTTGTCGCCACGCCAGCACCAGCTACCACAACTACAGAAACAACCACAACCACACCCATCACCAAGAAGGTAATAAAATCATGAAGCCTCTCTGAAGCTGTAGCCTCACTGTGTCCCAAAAATGGACCTCCAAAGTCACCAACACCCAAAGCCTTTCAAGGCTAACAAGCGAGCTCATTTAAAAAGCCCTTTGTTGATCATCTACAACTCATGTACTGTGTGCTCAGTATTAATATGCAATTTTCGTATGTTCCTTGGATGGCATGCTAACACATGGTTTTCTTCTAAATTGGTGAACTTTAATAATTAATGGTTTTAATATGTGTGTTTATAGGCTATACGGTGAAATTGTCTTTCCCTAAATTACATGAAGGGGATCAGGGGGCGACCCCTCTGGTTGTATAGAAGTCTATGAGAAAATGAGTCTACTTCTCTCTTGATTTATTACCTCAGTAAACATTGTAAACATGAGTTTATGGTCTCAATCTCTAGTTTCAAGTCTTCTTCAATACAGCATGATGTTCATTTAGTACATGATGGTCCATTTAGAGTCAAACAGACCATAAAGCAGGGGATGCTTTAGGGCGGGGCTACTGTGATTGACCAGAGACATATACAGCATCTCTACGTCACTCCTTAGTCCAAATATGGTTCACTGGTTGTAAAAAAAGTCAAGATAGCGATGGCCAAAACACCAAACTTAAGGCTTCCAAACGTCAGTCTACAAACTAATGGGTGACACCACGATGACTACGTCCACTTCTTATAAACAGTCTATGGTGCATCTGTGTTTGAAAGTGCTCCAAAAATAAACTTGCCATGTCCGATTTTAATGTCTTATGTATCATTTTCCAACAGGTCGTCACCACAACCAAAAAACCAGCTCCACCAAGGAAACCAGAAACCAAAAACACTGGAACACCAATCAGGCCACAGCCAGCTCCAGTAGGACCGATCACCGACAGCCTCCTGGCCAATGGCAGAGGACATGCGGCTGGTTCTCTACCAGGGTTTACCCGTTTCATCTCTCCGCCAATGGGAGGGCTGCCTCACAAAGGTTACGGTGTGACATCAGATAGCGACGAATCAGATAGCGATGAATCAGATAGCGACGAATCAGATGCAGCGCCGCTGAAAAGAGCTGGAAGGACCAACGAGAAGAGACGGCCAATAGATTCGCTTTCTTCAGAGGACTCAAGTGATGAGTCTTAAACTTTTAGGTTTCAAACAAAGAGGTTAATTATATTTAGTTTTATGAAGAGTTTCTTTACAGTTTAGCACATCTGTTGGTTTGTTAATGGGTAAGTGTATTCTCTGCAAAGGGATTTCCTTCAAAAAATGTCCCAAATCCCAAGATTACCACTAAATATAGCAGCCAGAAAAGTTGCAATGCACGAGAGGCCAAATATTGTCGCTTCCTGCTTCACTAGTAAATATTTAGTAAGTTGTTGCTCGTAAATGTTCTAAAATATCAAGCAAAGTTTACATGTATGTATGTTAGCTTACAGCTGTTAGCTTTGCTGTTCCCACCAACCAAAACAACCAATCTTCATCTTTAAAAAGCTTCTTTATTCTTATAATGTCTGTTAAACGCCTTTAAATGTACAAATACTGTGTGAATAATCTGTTAGCTGCTTTAAAAAGGTGTTTCGTAATAAAACAAACATGAAAACTGTAAATAATAAAATGTATTTTATTCTTGTCTTTACACCATTATTTTCTTAATGTTTGACAAATGAACAGGACCTGTAAGATTGCAGAAAGTTGTGAGCTTTACCTAAAATGGACCAGGGTAGCTACTCATAGAAATGTTAAGGTTTCATTGCATTAAAATAAAGGGGTGCACGTCTGAATGGGGCCTTTGTTAAGGTGTTTGTGTGTCAGTACTGTTGTGTCCGTGCTGCTCTGGTTCTGATGGAGGAACTGGTTGTTTGTCTTTCCTCTGATCCTTGGAAGTGCCTTTGTTGTGTTTGCCTGAGAAAACAAAATATTGTTTGATGTAAAAATTGTGAGATAAAGTATGGACATTTTTTCCTGATGGTAAATATGGTTCATAATATCTCCAATGCATCTGAATGGACTTTCTGTTCGTCATTGTTTTGGAGCCAAAGTCCTGAAATGCTTGTTTTTTAATTGGCTTGGCAAACATTTGTTTGACTCAGTCAGCACTTCTTCACACAAGATCTTAAAGAAACCTAAACTTTGAGGCATTTCACCATTCTTGTTTGTTGAAAGTGTGTTCAGTTCAAATGAACATGAGGAAAGGCTTTTGATTGATTGATCGGCTACTTAGACCAGACCAACATGGCGGCTCGTCTGGAAACTTTCTATTATACTACGAAAATAGTTCACTGAAATCTGTTTCTAAACACTACTGAGGTGAAAAATAAGCCATGTAGTTGTTGAAGAGTTGTTATTGGGATGAGTAATTCGTTCAATCTTAAAATAATTATGTACAGAGTCTTGTGCCTTTGCCTTTTCCCAATCATCCTTCTTGCTCTGAATTCAATGTTTTATGCTAAAGATCAACATGGTAGTTGGTTGGCTTGGTTCCATTCTTAGAACTCTTCATGAGGATTTAAGGACTTTTGGAAAACATCAATGGATGGAATTATGGGAAATTCGCTTCCGGAACCACAGGGTTCAAAAAGTGGGCGGTCACAGTTGAGCTCTGTGGTAATGTGTGTTTGTGTACCTTCTCTTCCTTTGACCTCCGGCAGCACTGAGCTCCTCAGATCTGGGAAATGGATGCCTGACTTCTTTTTGGTCGCTGAAATGCCTCCACTGTTGCCGAGGTTACATCGATCGGACAGGAAGGAGCGCTCGCTGGTCAGATTCTTCTCTGACACCTGAAAGGAGAGACGGTGGTGACACATTCAAATTCAAAGTGATTCTGTTGTAAAGTAAGTGAAACACGCACTGTTACCTGTGCAGATAGAGATCCCGTAACGTGGCTTGACAGTCGACCATAAACACCACCGTGATGCCTCGGATGGTCAACACACCTGTGACAAACACAAAGAAACACATTTGATCATACATTTGATTACCAATAAACAGTTGTAGTTAAGGCTCTCAAGCTTGAATGGAACCCAAAGGAAATATATTTTCGTGCGTGGTTTGATCCTAACATTTTGAACATTACTAAATGAATGAGATCAGAACAGCTGCACAGGTTGTTGTATGCCAACTTTCAGAATTCAACTGCTTCTAGTAACTTCTACTTCAGCCTCTGAGTCAAGGTAAAATGACTTTAACAATACCACCAAGCAAATATTGGGCTTAAGCCGGAATTACTCTTTGGTGCGTTTGAATATTTGTACTTGTGTGTGAGAAGTACCTAAAGCTGTGGGTCCCCGAGTGGAAACCTGCCCCCAGGGAAAGGTGATCGCTGGCAGCCGGGCTGACGACACAGAAGGAAGGAACAAGGGGTGTGGAGGATGGAGGAAGAGGTGGAGGTGGTGGAGAGGAAGGATGTACACTGAAGTCAAACTCATCATCGTCTGCCGTGTCCCTGTTGTGAAAGACTGAGCTTCTTGTCGAAGCTTTGGGGTCTGGAGTTGCTGTAGAGGTGAATGAAGTCGAATCCGCGATTGTGGATATATTTGTTGTGTCGTCACTTCCTGGGTTGTCGCTTTTCTTTCTTGCCTCTGTAGGAAATGTAGTTTTCTTTAGGGTCATTGTTGCGTTGGACTTTGTTGGCTTTTTAGGGTCTCCGATCAAAGATTTGAAGTGAGGGGGTTTCACGGGTTTTACGTCAGGTTGAGCTTTATTACCGTTTCTCTTTTGCTCAATATTTGAGCTTCTAGAAACCTTTGAGGTTTGATTTATTAAAGACTTGGTTGTCGCACTGATGGAACCAGGAAGCGCTAAGTCCTCCCTGTTCTCTTTGTCTGAGACTTTCAATGTTTTCAGAATAGCGGTCCCTCCTGACGCGTTGGTTTTAGGGATTTCATTCAGCATGGAGGTTGAGGTTGTTCTGAATTCTGAGGTGAAATTCTGATGGACACTGGACGGCTCCAAGAACTCAGGACTCCCTTTGTAATGTCCACCTGAAGCATCAGATATCTCAGTTTGATTTGCAGCTGTTTTGGTCGCCGGGCTCATCTTCAAGCATCCGTGATCTTCCTTAAGGTCCTTGTTTGAAGTATTACAACTATCCTGCTGCGTTTTGGTTGCGATAGACACTTCTGTAAGTTCCCTGTCTGGAAGGCCTCTCGAAGGTTTGTTGGGTACACATGCGGTGTCATTTGTGGGTTTAATGTTTGAAGATGAGCTAGTTTTGGACAACATTGTATTTGAGGTTCCTTTAGGTAGTGTTGTAGTGCTGTGGACAGGACTGGCCTCTATAACAACTGTGGAGGACTGCCTTGAAACATCTGAGGTTAGAGTCTTTGAAGGGCTGTTGGAAAAGGATGTGTTGTTTTGGGTAATTTTTGGGCCAAAGTTTGAGTTAGTCTTGGGTGGTCTGGGGTTTGAGGGAAAGACCTTTGGACATTCAGGTGGCCCTCTTTGTTTTGTCTCCATGTTAGAATGATGCTCCGAAGTTATAGTTATCTTGCATGGCTTGGTGACTGAAGGGATAGTTGGGGTAGCCACCTCAATGTGGTCATTGCTCGACGGTTGAGACGCTTTAAATGTCAAGCTTGTCTCTACTTGATCACTGTTTGCTATTTTAGAAGTTACAGCTGAGGCACCTTCAAGGTATTCTGAAGTGGAAAATTTAGTCATTTTCTGTTCAGTGGTTGATGTCATGGAAGCTTTTGGAGATAAACTCCCATTTGCATGGTCAGTGATTGAGCTTTTCGACAATTTGGGCACTTTTGAGGTTGAGTTGTTCTGGCTCTTCCCAAAGTCTTGACTTGGCTCAGATTTTGATGATGTCCTGATCCCCATCACATTTCTCTCAGTCACACTTGACACAATGTAGTCTGAGTAACTAAAATGCAAGCTACTAGAATCTCTGTCTTTTGTATCCATAGTTTTCACATGGTCTTGCCTTGGCTCTGGAGAAGCAACTTTCACATGTTTAGGTTCAGCTGCCACAGTGTCACTGTCTTTCAGATCTGTTGCAGTCTTGGCAACCTCCAATGAATCAGAATTAAGGGTTTTTATTGTGGCTTTTCCTGCTTTACCTCTCATGACCACAGTCGTCTTTGCTGCAATATTGATCATTTTTGCGCCTGATGTTTTGGCTTGTTTGGTGGACATCGAAGGTTCCGAGGTGTTCCGAATAGTTTTAGAAAGCTTCAAAGGTTGCTTTCCTTTTGTTTCCTTGTTGACTTTTTCATGTACACCTTCAGGTTGCTTCTTTTCTTTGCTTTGTCGGTTCTTGTCATCCCCTTCGTTCCTTTCTCGTCTTGGAGTTTTAGATATTTTGGGGAAGGTAGAGTTTTCTCTGTGGTCTTTTTGGATCTTGGCATTCAGCTCATCCAAAAATCTGTATAGATACAAGGAAAGATGAACAAGGTCAGTTACTCAAATTTGGAGGCGACTCAACAATCAAAATGTCGGTGGTTTGACTCCTGGTATCACTACTGATCTGTCTAACACAGATTTAAAGGTGTGCCAGCTACTCCAAGAAATTCCCTCCAAACGTGTTCACAAGAATGGACCGGACAAACTTACATTCGGTCACCACTGTCGCCGGCACAAAGGCATAACAGTCAAATTAAATAATATTTTAGATACAATAAGCTCTGGTGGATGCATTAGTAGTATCTTTGTAAAAGTAAACCAAATGTGTTAAACTACAAAGATACCTGATGTGGAAAGAGTCTTGTGTGAACAGAGGATGTTCTTGCAGTTCTGAACACTGAGCTCGTCTTTCTGGATCCATCTGGAGACAACTCTGGAAGAGAGAACACAAAAGTACTACTGATTTTGATATATGTTGTACTTAGGATCTGAAAGTGACAAATACCAAATAGATTCATAGCTGGCACCTCAATTCAGTTCAAATGAAAAAAACTACTGATACAGATAGCAGCAGTATGAAGTGAGTACCAAAGAATTTTGGTACCGGTATGAAAGCTGCAAGACCTCGAATAGCTGCTCGATGTTGCAAAGATTCCTAAAAGCTTTCAATTTAAAACCCACACATCGGCACGATTTTCAGTTGACTGAAATGTGCTTTTGTTGATTGTGTAGTTAGTTTGAATTGTGATATCTAAGTCAAAGTCTAAACTGTACCAGAGCCAGGTCCTGGGCGGCGGGTGCGATTGTAGGGAAGCGCTGCTCCAGTCGGACTCTGGCAGAATATTCAGGCAGTGTGACTCCGGAAAAGACAGGATTCCTGCAGAACAACTCCTGGTGATGAGCTGTCAGGTTACCTAGGAGAACCCCAAAAGAGTACAACTGTGTTGGGACAGTTAAAAGAGGAGATTTTGCGTATTTAAAAAAAAATCTAAATTGTGTGCTTACCGAAGCACCGGACGATGTGGTAAATTTGGTCGAGGTCGGAGTCTCCGGGAAACAGGGGCTGACCCGTTAACATCTCTAATAATAGACAACCAACAGCCCACACGTCTACCGGTCTACACACACACACACACACACACACACACACACACACACACACACACACACACACACACACACCTGTTAACATCTGTATCAACAGACAACATACACCAACGCATCGTCAGGTGCACACACTGACACCTACTTGCCATACTTGGTGTCTCCCACCAGGAGTTCAGGTGCTCTGTACCAGCGAGTGGCCACATAGTCCGTATAGACGACCCCCTCAGCTGGCGCTGCCATGGTCCGGGCAAAGCCAAAGTCGCATATCTTAACCACGCCCCCCTGAGAGATGAGTATGTTCTCCGGTTTGATGTCACGGTGGATGATCTAGGAAGGAAACAGATGATAAAACTACGGGACAATGTGGTAATCTGGCAGCCGCATTGAGAAGACTCTCTGACGGAGTTCGTCCTCACGTTCTGCTGGTGGCAGAAGGCCGCGGCCCTCAGGATCTGGTAGAGGTACCGCCGGCTGGTGTTCAGGTCCAGTCCGCTCGGGTTCTGCTCCAGATCATCCAGAAGGGTTCGCTCCACGAACTCGAACACAAGGTACCAGCGGCGGCGGCGCTTCCACACTTCCAGAAGGTTCACCAGGTTGTCGTGACGCAGTTGCTTGATGGTTAAAAGGATGAGAACGAACAAATTAGCTTTTTATTAAAGTATAGGGCTGGAATATATGGAGAAAATCAAATATCACAGAACTTTTGATCAAATACCTCGTATTGGTACGTTCACAGAATATTTACACAATAATATTTTTGATAAATAATTATCGGTGATGTTTGTAAAATGATTAACATGGTCCAATGGAGGCTACATTTACAAACATGTCGATGGAAAGCTAGTTTTTGACTGTGAATCTTCTAGAATTAAGTGTCATGACCGACTGGCTGCCTTTGTGTTTTGCTTCGCTCGGGTTTTAGCCTCATGCAGACTCATTGATGGAGCGGCTGATGGATGGATTGACAGTCACCCTCAGCAGCTTGATCTCCCTCAGGGCGATCTTCTTCACCGTCTTATCGTCGTCTGAGTCCACGAACTTCTTGATGGCGACGAGGCGGCCGGATTCTCGGTGACGGCACTTCAGCACGGTGCCGTAGCTTCCCTCGCCGACCAGACCCAGAGACTCGTAACGCTCCATCAAACACTACGGGAACCAAAACACATCGAGACATCTCTCAACAATACATTCGACTCTTCTATTACTGCTGTAAATAGTTCAGAATCTACTGTGAACACTTGATCTGACAATCAGCCAAACAAACAGCTTCAAGAACTGAATTTAGAAAGAGGCAAAAACAATTAGAAGACAATAAGAAGGAAAAGTAACAAAGATGAGTTGTATGAAATTAGAAAACATGAAAGAAAAAACTAAATAAAGACAATTACACAAAGTTATAAAAAAGCACAATGAACTAAAAGTAAAGGAAAATATGCAAACAGTGTGTAAGAGATCATTATATTATACAATCATGTATAATATATTCATCTATTAGAATTCCACTAGTGAGGAAATATTCAGATTTTTTTACTTTGGTAAAATAATACATTATAAATAGTCCTGCATTCAAATAAAGCATAAAAATGTTAACGACAAAATGTACTTTTATAAGTAAATCTACTATAACTGTAAGAGTACTAGTAGTAATAATACCTATCAATAACATATTTTGGTCCCGATTAACAATTTTACAAAAGGAATGCACACAATAAAGAATGAACAACAAGGCATTCAATTTAATAGGAAACACAAAATAATCAAACAAGTGTCACGACAAAGACATGAGTTATATTATAAATACTTTAGAATCTATTTGGATAATTCATCAAGTCATGTTTCATGTTAAACCATCAATAGTCATCACTATTAAATACAAACCTGATTATTATTTGATGAGGTGAGAGATATAATTTCTGAACATAGTTGTGCATTAAGTCGCCTTATTTTCATGTATTAAATCAGAGTTATGGCTTCATGTAATATATATTTAATCAGCTTACAATTAATAGATCTATAGACTGTTTCTCTTCTGCCCACAATAAAAACCGAACCGTCTCAGTTTTAATACTTTAACATCATTTTTATTATTATACTTTTACTGAAGGAACATTTTAAAAGCAGGACTTTTACTGAAGTAAAGGATCTGAATACTTCCTCCACCACTGAGCGTATTTCATACAATACTAACCATTATTAATATATTAACTATAAGCAGTAAACGTTACACACACACACACACACACTCACGTGCAGGTGAATTCTGTTATCGGTTAAATCGCCGCGTGAACTTCCGTTATCAACACTGGAGAAACGTTTTGTTTGTGAACGTGTGTGTGTCGTCTCACAGTCACCGGAGACCCGACAACTCGACCCTCCGTGTGTGTGTGTGTGTGTGTGCGCGTGTGTCACGCATCACGTTGCCCTGGTGACGCCTCCCACGCAGAGCGACGGAACGTGACGTCACCGCGTAGAAGAATACTAAACCTAAATCTGTGACGTTATTTCTAATAAAACATGTTGATGTTATTTTGAGTCTCTTTGAATTAAGAAATATAGCAGAACATGTAAATAAGTGAAGTACAAGTACATGAAAACATCAGTACATCAGAGAGCTCTCTGTTGGATGTCGTCACGTGATAATAAACCAGAATGTTTTATAATAGATCCTCAAAAACCAACGAGGAATAATGAGGACCAGGTGACGTCATCATCGTTGGTTCTGCAGAGCTTGTTAAAGACAGAAGCTCTCTAGCGCCCCCTGCTGACAGCATCACTGCTGCTGTTTGTTTGTCTACTTTAGGATACTGATGAAGTCTAAACACAGTCCTGCACTACATCCCTTCATGAATGATGTGATGTTCAGATTTTGGTAAAAATGTTTAATCTTATATAATTAACTTATTAAATCCACAGTGAAATTAAAGCTTGTTTTCATTATTAAGGACATTTATGCAAGTATACAAACATTTAGAACAGACATTTATTTAAAAGAAATGTAAAATAAACCATTTCCTCAACATATTGTAGACTATAGGTGCTTTTTATCCCCTAATGGGAGAACGCAGTAAAAGTACTCACACTTCACTTTAAAACAACTACCATCGTACAACTAATAGTATCAATTGTCTAATATTGTGTTTGAATGAGAGCTTCAAATGTGCAATATTAAGACAAAGCTACAATTGATATTGTGTGTTTGTATGAAGGTTAAAAGAAGCATCTGTGAAAAAGTTATCTGCAAAGACTTAAATGAAAAATATAGATATTTACAATGACATCATAGCGTCGGTGTGCATTCATGAGAACAGTAAAATAATAAACAGTAAAATAATAATAAACAGTAAAATAAT